TAAAGGATGTGTCTGGTAAAGAGTCTGTTACAGAAAGTCTTACATGAGGAAAAAAAAAAAAAAAAAGCTCAGGGAAGAAGTGCAATGTTCAAAAGGGATATACGGAAGGGACCCGAAAGAAAAGACAGCATGTTCTTGAGTGAATTATCAATAAAGGGAAATATTAAGAAGAAAGCAAAAGTGGCATGACATCTTTACAACAAAAATAATTTAAACCTGTTTCAGGAATTTAATGAAGATAATGCATACAGATTACTATTCTGTGAAGTTAAGAAGTAAGCATTATGGAAAGAAATAAGACATCATTTTTTCACCTAACAGAAACATGCTTTTTTTTTTTTTTTTTTGTGAATCTGCCCTCTTCATTTTAGGGAGCCTCATTAAATGCTAAAATCCTCTGGACCTCAATCTCTTCACCACAGAGGTAGCCAATATTAGTTTTGTGTGGGTATTGTGTTTATATTCAGTCCTCATTTTAATACTTTGTATGTAGTGAAAGAACTTTGGGGTTGTATATAGAGGTTTGGGGAGTTATATATATATATTTTTTTTTAAGATTCATTTTTATTTATGCATTCAAGAACTAGGGTGTAGGCTAGAGGTGCAGGGGGTAAGAGGTAAAGTGGGGAGCAGAATAGGCAGGTCAAGTGTAGAGACATGAATTTTTTTGAAAGCAAAGGGGAAGTCTTCAATAAAAGGAATATGTTGGGACCTCCTTTCCCTGGTGGTAAGAAGTTAAAGTCTCATTGCTATCAAGCTGTCACCAGCTACAACAGCATGAGTTTGAGCCCCTGCCACAGAGGTGACCCACATAAGACCTCTCCTGTCTCATCCACTGCTCCACTCAGCAGTGTTTCAGTAAATGAGCCTCCCCTGTTCCCCACTCTGCTTGTGGTGAATCTTCTTACTCCCTGCACCTCTGGCCTATACCCCAGTTCTTGTATACACAGATAAATAAAAAAAGTTGAATATGTAAAAATAAATAAAGAGAATCATTACTGCACGAGATGCTAGAGAAAAGGAGATACTGTCATATGCAGATACAGAGGAAAAATAATTTTGAGTAAAACAAAACTGTCTTAGAGATCATACTCACTTAATTCAAAACACTCACAGTATGAATTCACACATTCCATGTTTTCCATATCACCACACCATCACTTTGTCACAATTAACCACCATATCTACTTAATCACTTTATCACTCACTGACAATTTTGCCATTTCCTCCCTCTACTGCTAATATCCTTAGGGAATTTATGACTTATGTTGATAAACCTGTGAACATCTTAACTCATAGTTTTTTGTGTTCATTTACTTCAATGGTCACATCTCTCATTTTTTGCTTCTGCTTTAGACAAGCAAAGACACAGACTAATTTTGATGATTATGTGGAATAATCTACTTCCAATATCACTCATTTTGAAATCATATTCTTCTTGGATTTCTTGATCATTCATGTCTGCAAATAACTTCTTACCCTGGTCTTATGTTCATCCTCATCCTCTATTTCATCACCAATTTTGAATCTTTCCTCCTGCATTTGCAATTCACAGCTCTTATTTCAATTGCAAATTTTGAGTCTGTCACATCCTATCCTTTTTTTTTTTTTTTTGGCTTATATATTCCATGTATTACTGTTTAAGTGCTGAGTTGTTAAGCATTGATATTTAATACTACCCTGATTAGAATCTAGAAATCCACCCTAGCTAAATATGTGTTGCTGGAAAACATTTTTATTGATATTATGAAAACCATTTGTCACAATAGTTTCAGTGAAACTTAACCTATTCATTTAAAATTGCTAATCTTAATCAAAGACTATCACCTATATGTTTCTTGAGGTTCATTTTAGCCTTGTAAAATATAATTTAAACAAAAGAAGAGGAAGAAGAGATGATGGGAGGGGTAGAGGGTAGAAAGATATTTCAAAAGCTCAAAGTAAGAAATGTCCAGTTGGGGTTCCAAATTGTATTGGAAAGCCCCCCTGCTCCATGTTGACACCCTCAGATTTAACTGAGTACTTCTATGCATTCCTGAGCTCTAGCAGTTTGCTTGGACAACTTTTTTCAGAACAGGATCACTGAAATCTCTTCTTTCATTGGAATTGTTGAGAGCCTGAAATCTTGGTAGCATTTATCTTCATTGGGGTAACATTATGCAGTGATTACTGGAAGATTGGAAGCCCATCTACCTGACTTTCAGAATAAAGCACTCACTCCAGTACTCTCCAGAGGATCATTGTGTGTGTTGGACTTTACTCAAAAACTAAACCTCTGCTTGGTTTCTTCTCCTTCATTTCCTTACTTGAAGTCTCATTCCTGGATCTGCTCCTAGATACTTGATGTAAAACACACATTTGGTTTATTTGCTGTTTCCTGTTCTTACTCCATTCCAGTGCTTTTTCCTTGCCAAGAGTCCTCATACTCTCTAGAATTTATCTCCTCTTCATATGAATTTCCACTCCTTGCTTCTGCAGTTTCTTCTCCTCTGCCTATGAATATGTAAAGTATGCCCTACCTCCCATATTAATAAAAACTTCCTCTATGCTATACTATCTTAGCATATGCCCACATTTTCCCTTTATTCTCTTAATTTTCTGTATCTGTATTTGAAAAATGGTAGCACTGATTTCCAATTATTTTACTTATTAGTTAAACTTGACCTCTGCCTTATTTATCTCCTAAAATTGATAAAAATTCACAATACTTTGACCATCAATTGTATGTTCTAACCTCTGCTTTATTTCTCCTAACCTCATTACTGATGATACATGTTTCTTTTCTCTTGACTTCTAAGAACTTGGTATGGCAATTTTGTTCTTTCTCTTTCTTTTGTTTAATCATTGATTATCTTTATTTCTCTTTTTAATCATTTCATACCCCAACTGTAAACAATAGTCATTTTTATCCTCAGACTTCTTTTTTTTCTGTACTGTTTCTTAGGTTATTTGATCTACTAACATCGTTTATGGAAGAGTGTGAACTAGGAAGTGACACTTTATTTCTCCAATTTCTGATGCCATTTTTTCCACATTTCTCTTCAGGAAGAATCCAGGACTTTCTAGTCAATTTTAGATAAAATAATAGACATTTATTGTTAATTAAGAGGAGGCATAAAAAATATAGAAGTGCAAACAAATCTCATTCCATTTTAAATTTCTCCACCCTCTCTCTGGCTTTTCCTACCTTGAGGATTTGTAGTGAGAAAGTAATACTTTTTTCCCCATTTATTTCAGTATTTGTTTCCTAATTTTAGTGTCCCCCTTATACATTTGCCTCAAATGTTCACTTATAATTAAGGATACAAAAAGAGCCCTCTCCTACTCCATAATATAACTCCTGTGCAATAAATTAAGCATTTTCAAGAATTTCCTAATTTAAAGAACACTGTAGTTTTAACTAAGTCTTATACTTCTGATCTCTGTTTATATGGTTTATTTGGGGCCAGGAAGAACTATGATAGATGGTTTGCAACCAGTTTCAATTTTACTTGATAAATAGGACCCAGTTTCTATAAAATATAGGAGCTGCTATTGCCTATACTGCGTCCCAAACTTTCAGTTATAGCACATACTTCTCTACATGTATTCATGTATGTAACACACACACATATACACCTCACATAGTTACACTCTAATCAATGTCCTTTCCATTGCCACTACCAGTTCTTTGTTTATACTTGTCTTACAAGATATTCTTATTCCATTTTAACACAGTTTCTTCTTCAATTCTCCACCAAGTCTCTAACAGATCACCAGCACTGACACTACTACCTCCTTTTGCTATTCAATCTAATTACATGCTCTCTTTTTCTTTAAACTTAAAGTAAGTATGTGGTAGTTTTTTTTGAAATTATTACTCCAACAAGAGATTTATATATGACTTAAGCTTGACTTATACCTCTCTAGTAATTTTATGCCTGAAAATGTCATATTTCACAATTTGATACTATTATTTTAATTGAATCTTTGAATTCATTTAAACATCCAGCTTATACACTATGAACAGAAGAAACATCCTATTCATACCATCATACTTTATGTGTCTCCAGGACCCTTTTTATACAGGAAGTGTTACTATTTTGTCAAGATGCACTGAGCTGAAGGCTAAGGATAAGATGGAGAGGTGCTGACATGACCTTGTTCACAGGGTGTAGTACTCAATAAATGTTCATTTATCAAACTGACAAAAATGGTGTGTATGTGAATTCCTTTGCCTGATGTTCTGTCTCCTAGAGAGAAATACTGTAGCTATATGCTAAAATAGCTGATGAGATTTAAAAGGAACTTGTGGAAAAATAGTTCTGGAATAACAACTTGAAGATGTATCCTAGGTTTCAAAAGAAAATTACAGATTGACAGGTAGCAGCAAGAGCCCTGCTAATCTGTACTTCGTGAATCTGTGAAAGGTCATGCACAGCAGGTTTTCCATAAAATGAAGTATGAGGCTTGTTAAAAATATGAAGGGAGGGCTTTCCTCTCCCTGGTGGCACAGCAGGTTCAAGCACAGAACCAAGAAGCTAAAGCCACTTCAGCATGAGTTTGATCCCCAGACCAGGAGGTGTACAACATGTTAATTTGATAGTCCTGGAAATAAAATAGGTATTAAATATTCATTTGGAAAATGGATATATTACAATTGGAAAACAAGATTTGCTACTAAATGACTATTTGAATTGTTGAGTATCATTTATGTAAATATTTCTAATCTAGAACTTTAACTTGAGAATCTAGAAACGTGTTACTCTACTCATTTGGATTTATACAGACATTGCAGAACTGCATAATAAATGCTAACACACCTAAATATATACTAAAACATACAAAAGCAAAGTGAAAATAAGCTTTCCCTCTATTTATATATCTTTACTATTTATATATCTTTAAATTTTATATCAGGCATTAAAGCTAAAAATTGCATCAATATGATATGTGAATATTATTAAATGGAACTTAAAACTTACATAAATTCAAAAGGTATATGTAATTCTTAAAATTACCCTTTTACTGGGTGCACAGCTATTGATCTTGGTTGATCCAGGCCTTGGGAAATAATGACATAACGGAAAGAGCCATTGAGTCTTGCAACTTCAATTAAGTTGAAACCATGATCTGTCCAGTATATATTACCTAGGACAAATAAAGATGTGATTATAATATAGTTGTTAAAATATTAATTAGTTGCAGCTAATGTTAAATTTCTGAGTGTTTACATAACTATAGTATAGATTTAATTTACTTCTATACTATTTCTCAAAGTACATATTTCCTAAGAAGAAAGCTATTAATGTGCAGATGTTTCCTACTATTACAATCTCTTCTATAAATCATATAATGATAAAGCTATATGTTAAATAAAAGTTGAAACTTTTCCCACCTGAAGAAGAGATCTATTTTAACTTTTTACTGACTTCAGGCAGAAAAAAAAGAAGTGCTTCTAACACTTCTGTTTACCTGCCTCATAGAGTTCTCAAGAGATCTGGGTAAAGTTTAGCACTACATAATCTATTTCTACATAAAAACACTTATCCAAAGGCTCAAAAGCATTAGAAAGAGTAGAGCCAAAAGCAAAAGTGACTATTTACCCCTGTGGCTAGAGTATAAAAAACTGTTATGGGTAAGAAACAGAATTTATATGAAGCAGATTGAGCCTCTAACAAAATAGATGTGAAACAAAAACAGAAAAGTCATGGATTATACCAGCAATCCAGTCAATAGCTATTCCTTCCACTCTTCCCAAGCCATTGGTAATGATATCTTCTTTCCAAGTCTGATCTCTTTTAGCTCGGCTAATTTTATTGAAGCCCATGTCTGTCCAGTAGATTGTATCATTTTCTATGGATGAGACAGAAGGGAAACAAAAGACAAATATACACTATTATGTATGCCAACATAGGTATTAGGGTCATAATGCACCAATATTTTGGGGGAAATATCTTAGGTATGCTATTGTAAAATATTTTTCAGTATAATTTATTAATGCATATAGAGAGATAGGTATAAAACAAGGAAGAACTTCATCAAAGTAATTTTTTAAAGTCTATTAGAATTGTAGAAATGGGCCTTCCCAAGAAGCACAGGGGTTACAGTCTCAGTGCTATGAAGCTATCACCAGCCACATCATGGCATGAGTTCCATCCCTGGCATGGGAGCTGACCTACATGGCGCAGCAGACCTCACCTGCTTCTCCCACTTCTCCCTCCAGCAGTGTGTCTCAGTCTGTCTTTGGTGAATTTGCTTACCTCCCTCACCTCTGGCCTACACATCAATTTTTATATGCATACTTAAATAAAAAAATCAATTTAATAAAAAAGAAATATTTGTAGAAATGACTTATCACTTTACTTTTTTCATTATCCTACTCATTTGAACTCAATAATTATTTACTTGCTATGATTTTGCAATAAGGATATCAAACCATGCTACTTTGTATCACAATTCTCATACCTATCCCTGTGTATGAGTCTTTTAAATATAAAGAGCATACTATTGAGGTTAATTAACTCAACAAAGTCACAAAGTAGAGAGTGATAAAAAACAAACAAACAAACAAACAAACAGAAGGGCATTTCAACTATCAAGGGTATTTTAATCATAAGGTCATTCAAAATGTATAAAGTGTTAAAAGTTTCTTATCTTCCAGTTATTCCTTTTGAGGTACTAGTATCACAAATGTCAACTATAAACCACATAAATTATTTTTCAAACACATTGTTCAAATGAGCTTAAGACTGCTGGAAGAATGGCAATTTTCTGTCCAGAGCCTTTATTAGGGCGGCTCTAACCAACTGAGCTAACTGGCTGCCTTAGAGTCCTTAAATACTAGTGATTTTTGAATATTTGAATGAAAAATGTGTCTAAATACTATAAATGAAATGTATGTGCATGCATATTCATAAGCATAAAGGATAGTAATTATAAACCAATGGTTTTAAACACAGCTACAGGAGGGACACTGGGGACAAATCATAAAATAATAAATTTGCCACCAACTAAGTAAGTTTTTATGTTGTGACCTACATGGTCATTTGAAGAACAAATCCTTTAAGACCAATATAATTTCCCTCTGGCACAGTGACAGACTATGGGAATAAAGAAAGAGCAATTAGTATAATCAAGGCATTTATCAGTAAGTTTTGGGATTCCTTTTTAAATGATATATAATATGGATTATTTTACCTATTTGGAGAAAGAGTCCAAATAGCCCCTGATCCCAATAGTGTTGAAGTAAGAACACAAAATTGTTTCAAGCAGAGATATCAGTTTCAAATACATATGTCAAATTCAAGGACTTACTGATTTTCCAATTTTGTTAAAGTATCAGTTACTATTTTTTTTTTCATTATTGAGAGTGGCTTGATAAACAAAAATAGACATTTGCATGACTATTATTATCTGTCAAGTTAAATTCCTTCCCTTGCCCTCACATACTGGGTCCATATATTCAGCTACCTACTTTTCATCTCTGTTTGCATGTAAAATCATCATAATAACAAAAAGATAAACAAAAAGCTAAATTTTAAGCTTTCTACCTAAAACACACTACTATTGCAGTTTCAATACACAGTTTTCCATAATTATTCATGCAAAGTTAATGCAACATACAGTAACTCCATTTTTACTTCTTAAGCGGGAAACCTCAAATTGTCCTTGATTACATTCCATACTCCACATCTATTTCATCAACTAATACTATACTATTCAATTTATTACCAAGTATTTCTGGCTCTTTGTATTCTTTGTTCAAAACATTTTCTTCATCCAATCACTTTGCACTGCTACTTACAATATAATACAAGTCACTACTAACTGTTAGCTGAAGTATTGCAGTAGTTACTAACTTTTTATCCCATATCTATTTTAACCTCTTTACTCACCTTTCCTCCTGAGTCTTTCCTTCACTTTGGTTCCACTGATGATTTTAAAGAGTAAATCAGATAATTTCTTCCCTGAGCCGATCAAACTCTAATCACTTCTCATATCATTCAAGGTAAAATCATTGTTCCTTCCCATGGCCTTTCATGTCTTATCCACAACCTTTAATTCTCTCTCACCTGATATATTTCTACTCTGTCCCTCACTTACATGTTAGACAGACATACTGCTTGCAAAAACAAATTAATTGCTTTTTGTCTAAGGTTTTTTACATTACTTTTTCCATCTGTCTTTCCCAAATATTTAAACTAGCTTAAATATACCCCTTCATAGTGAAATTCCCTCTGACCATGCTATAAAAATTATTTCCTTACCACACTCTATTTGCTTTATCAAACCTTATTTTTTACCATAGCATTTATAACTGTCAAATAGTATGTATTTATTGATTTGCTTGCTTAGTCTATCTTGTATTACAGGGATATGATTGGAGGGTTCGGCTGTTATTTTGTCTACTGCTTTAACCTTGGTGTCTTGAATAGTGTCTGAAACATAGTAGCTTCAAAAGAAACATCTGTTGAGTTAATGAATGCTATTTCCTCTACAAAGAATAGTTGGAAGGGGTTACAGCAAAGTCATAGATATTACCATCAGAACATTTAGAAGTGTATTAAATTACAGAGATGCACACAGAAATTTAATTCACAATAATATAGGATGAACAGCATATAGGTAATACACAAGCATTTCTTCTGCACACCTTTATTATCATATAGAACATAAATGCATTTTTTTAACTGCTTCTTAGATATAGACTACAAGACTATTAGACTGGTTTATGGGTAGAAATTGCAACTGATCCACCTTTTGCCAACAGCCCAGCCACATGAACAGCAGACATTCCTTGAATAGTCAGTGCAAATAATAGGCTAATCTCGTAATCCCTGGACTATCTTTAAATAATCAAATCCACTACATTTAACTGAGAAACTGAAAGGTTTCCTAGCATTTTTTTTTCTTTTAAGTATATTTTGGAGATTAGTAACAGAATGATTCATGTGGCAATACATTGAGGAAGGACAAGAGTATGGTAAAATTAAATCACTCCTTCATATCAAAACATCTACTCCTCAACTTTTCTCATATACTACACATCTATAAACACTCTAAGAATGAATTCACAAAGAATGTGTTTTCTACTATCTCAAGTATCTGCAAAATAAACATAAATTTCGTTAGGAATATTTTAATTAGGATTAAAATGAGACAAAAAGATGTTAAACTTTTGTAACAATCTGTAAGGGTACAGAATAGAGATACATATAAAGATAGGGGAGAAAAGATTACAAAATTTGTCCTGACACTCCAGAATATGACACTTTCAAACTTAAACTATGTCTATTCAGCAGATACTAGAGAATCCTGAGCATACTGCTTTCAGCACTGTCACATGGATAAGAGTTAGGCAGTGAATGACAAAGTCCATGTAGTCATAGAGTTCACATATAGGATTGAATTAAACTATTTGAATAAAAAATAACTATCTTAAGACACATGATTATATATATATATATAATATATTGGACAAATATATTTTTAGTTTAAGGAATTTGTAATTTAAGGAAATAATGATTACAATTAGCTTCTCACAGATATAAGAATGCAAATAGAATACTTGTTAACTATTCTCAAGGATCACCACATAGAGATTAATTGCCAACTATTATGCATTGAAATTAAAGTCAATTAAATGAAAAGCCACATATTTTCATATTGTTATCTGTCTGTAATACAAGGGAGCAGACATTTGAGATGAGAATAACTAAATTTTGAGTCAAAAAAAGTTCTCCAGAGAGATTTAAATGCTGTAGAACTAGCTTGTAAGCATCTTTACAGGCTAGATTATTCAGTGTCCTGTCAGAAAACAGGAAATAGAAAATATACGTGTCTCAAAATCTTGTAGGTACATTAGACATTTTTAAACCTATTTATTTTAATTGATATATACACACAATAGTTTATGCTTGAGAGGTACAGGTATTTATTGTTTTGATACATTTATGTTTTGTAGTTATGATTATCACTGTAGTATTAACTAGCACCTCTACCATGATATAATTATCATTTCTATTTTATGGTGAGAACAATTAAGGTCTATTTTCTTAGCACCTTTGGAGATCATAATACAGCACAATTGACTTTAATCACTAAGCTGTGAAATAGATCTCCAGGAAATATCATCTGTTAGCAACAGGCATATCAGGTATGTATGCTGAAACTACATCTGCCCAATATTTCCATCCCCAAGTGTTGGTAACATATTGCAGGTAAAATGTTACTAGTATCTTACTGTACATTTTTTATAAGTTCAAATTTTAAAATCCATATATAGGTGTTACCATAAAGTTTTTCTTTCTCTGACTTGTGTGTATCCCCTTGAGGGGTTATACCCTGCAAGGTTCATGCTGTTGTTACAAATGAAACAATTTCCTTCCATCTCATGGCTGTATAATATTACAGTGCGCATGTGTGTGTATGCCATCTTCATCCATATATCTGTTCATGAACATTTAGTTTGTTTCCATATTTTGACTATTATGACAAATGCTGCCATGAACGTGAGTATACAGATATTTCTTTGAGATTCTGATGGCAATTCTTTGTGATATATATGCACAGGAGTGATTTTGATGGATCCTTCATGTCTATTTTCTTATAATAAAACACTTATTGATTTACCTGCTGAGAATACACTAGAATTCATGTTGTCATGGGTTGCTGGAAAAATTATCTTATTCAACATTAAGTTGCTAGATTCATAATATTTGATGCATGAAATCTTATTTTATAATATATAAAAATACTATAAATGATTTATGAATTTTGGACATGTGGGTGGTGTTCAGCTTCTGGCTCTTGTAAATAACAACATAAATACACTTGCCCATGTTTGTAGTAGA